CCCTCGTCTTCATCCCACCTCCCTCCCTCCCTCCCTCCCTCCCCCTCTTTCCTTCGCCGCCCGGCTGGCGCGGCGTCACCCGTGGCTCTTCCCCCCCTCATGAGGCGGTGGAGCTGCTCGGCGCCTCCACGGTGCTGCTTCTCCAGGCTCCGCCGTTGGAACGGAGAAAGGGAGGGAGCGGAGGTTGGAAGAGAGACGAGGGCAGGAGGGAGAAGAGCAGGTGGAGGAAGAGTGGAGGAGGAGGCGGAGGCGGAGGAAGAGACGGAGCAAGAGAGGAGGAGGAGGAGGAGGAGGAGGAGGAGGAGGAGGAGGAGGAGGAGACGAGGACGAGGACGAGGACGAGGACGAGGAGGAGGAGGAGGAGGAAGAGGAAGAGGAAGAGGAGGAGGAGGGGGGAGGGGAAGGAGGGAGGAGAAGGAGAAGAAGGGAGAAATGGGGATACGAAGGAGCAGCAGCAGCAAGAGGATTGCGGCGGTGACGAGGATCGAGGAGCGTTGGCCGGCGCAGTCGACACGGCCGCCGCAACCCCCAAGGAGCAAGACGGGGAGAAGGATGAGGAGGATGAACAGGAGGAGTTGGGCGGGGGGGGAGGAAGAGGAGGTGGAGGAGGAGGAAATAGAGGAGGGATAGGAGGATGAAGAAGAGAAGGAGGAAGGAGGAGGAGGAGGAGGAGGAGGAGGAGGAGGAGGAGGAGGACCAGGGCAAACCCACGACGCATCAACGATGTTACAAGAAATCATCCCTACAAGTTCCGTCTTCATAGGTTTCTACTAGAACTTATTTTCATGTTCGGAAGTGCCTCATTGGAAGACAGCCGTCTGAGAGTTCAATCGTCCCAAGGCTGCGCCCTGATAGTCCTAAATTGGATTTCAACACCGCGAATCAACGTGAGTGCTGCGCCCAGACAATCTCAAGTCGTGCCACTGCACCATTCCCAGGACTTCGACCATACGAGTCTTAGCAATTTTTGCACACATTGAAACGAATGTGCGCGGCGCAAAACCGAGATCCACATGTTGAAAACAGAACCACCCTCCATTGAAATTGCTGCAGACTTTTACAACGAACGCGCGCGGCGCTAAGGCGAGAGCTTCATTTTGAAAACGGCCCGCCCTCCATCCGTGAAACTGCTGCAAACTGTAAAGACGAATGTGCGCGGCGCTAAGGCGAGAGCACCATTCTGAAAAGCACTTACCCTCCATCCGCGAAGTTGCTGCCAACGCGTAAAACGAATATGCAGGGCGCCAGGACGAGATCCCCATGTTGAAGACCACCCGCCCTCCATCCGCGAAATTGCTGCAATTTGTTTCAGGCGAATTTGCGCGGCGCTACGGCGAGAGCCACATTTTGAAAATCATCAGCCCTCCATCTGCGAAACTGTTGCCAATTCGAAGCTTCGAAAGAAACCACTACATGTGTTATGTGGCGAGGGGTTTTTGGATCTTCTGCAAAGGCTCAACAGGACGAGGCCTTGATTGGGCGGAGGAGGCCCTGCCGGCCAGGCCCCAGTGAAGTTTTCAGGCGGATTGCTCCGAAGATTGGGCTTGCAAAAGAGAGGGTTCTTACTTGCCAGACATGCAGTAAAAAACTCACGAAAGAAAGCTTTTCGGCCACTTTCGGCCCCCAGGGGCCCTCGCCAGGCCTCGGGACCGTCAAAACAATTGCCTGGTACGACAGGAATGCCTTGGGGCAAGGGTCGCGGGACCTCGGGGACCGCGCATGGAAAAAAATCCAGGCATCGCATGTCTGGTTACGGTCGGTAGCTCCAGTTTACAGTCGGGGCGCTGACCTAGGGAACCTTAAATAAGGAACGAGGCCCCTTTTTTCCATACGTTAACCTTCGATTTCCTGTCGAAAACATAAGGAAGGCCCGAGGCAAGCTGTGAAACACTTAAGGAACGCGGAGCCCCTCCCCAACGAAAAGGGTTCCTTCTTCAGGGCCCCGACTGTAGCGTGGCGCTCCGCCAGCTTTGGCCCACCACGCTCCGGCGCAACACGCCAAGCACGTCCCCGCTTCCAGGCGTCAACGCCGCGAGCTCTTCCCAGCCTCCCGCCCTGCGGAGCGGAGGGACATGATACCGTCGGGGCGTTGACCTAAGGAACCCTAAATGAGGAACGAGGCCCCTTTTTTCCATAAGTTAAACTTCGATTTCCCAGCGAAAGCATAAGGAAACCCTGAGGCAAGCTGTGAAACAATCAAGGAACGCGGAGCCCCTCCCCAACCAAAAGGGTTCCTTCTTCAGGGCCCCGACTGTATCCGCCTGCACGGCATAGCGTGTCGCATGAGCCGCCGCCAGAGCACGCTGAGCAAAAATTGCTGATTGTATTTGTTATCCGCCTGCACGGCATAGCGTGTCGCATGAGTCGCCGCCAGAGCACGCTGAGCAAAGATTACTGATTGTATTCGCAGTAGGTTCGTGCGGCGTTAGCGCGCCGGCGACGCTAGCGAAGGTGCTCCAGGTTGAATTCTGCGACGCGGAAGCACCGTTGGATACGGCAACCGCACTGGACCCGACGGAATTCAACCTTGAACGATCGGGGCCGCGATCGATTCGAGGTTGAACGATCGACGCGGTGTCAAAAGCCTCCCCGCGCACGCCGACGCCGCACGAACCTACCGCAAGGCGTTCCAGAAAGGGCATGGCCTTCGACGCAGCTCGCCCGCCGCAGAAGGCCGGCGAAGGCCCGTGGAAGCACGGCGGCGGCGGGCCCGTTGGCGGAGGGTCGGCGGAAGGCGGCGCCATCCAGGCCGTCGTCGTCGTCGTCGTCGTCGTCGTCGGCGTCGTCGTCGTCGTCGTCGGGGCCGCCGCCGCCGCCCAGGCCGATCTCGTCGCCAACGCCGTCAACGTCGCTCAGATGCGGCGGAAGTAAGAAGAGACGCTACAATGCGTTCAGCAGCATGCAGGAAGCGGGTCCAGAGAGAAACGGGTCCTGGACCCTCCAAGGGCCTTCTCCCAGGTCCAGCTGCGCACCCTGAGCCGTCTTCTGACAGTCCCTGGGGCCCGTGGAGGAAAGAGGGAAGAACTTCAAGACCAGCTCCCTTCATGGCGAATGTTTGGATCCAGAGTTTTCGGAACCGGCCACTTGGCTTAAGTCGGGCCTGTCCCTCTACAGGGGGAATATTCAAAATGACCCCAGTGCGACCCTACCTAGAAGTTCGAGCCCCTAGGAAAGCAGCATTAGTTGCTATGCTATGCTATGCCATGCTATGCTGCGCTATGCTATGTTATGCTATGCTAAGCGATGATATGAAATGTAATGCTGCACTGTGCTACGTTAAGCTATGTTATGATATGTTATGTGATGCTAAGCTGCGCTATGACATGATATGCTATGCTGTGCTATGATATGCTGCATTATGCTATGCTATGGTATGCTTGGATATGTTATGCTATGCTATGCTATGCTAATGCAGCGCTGTGCTATGCTGTGCTGTGCTGCGCTATGCTATGCTGCGCTATGCTATGCTGCGCTATGATATGCTATGCTGGGCTATGATATGATATGATATGCTACGCTATGCTATGATGTGCTCTGCTATGCTAAAGCTCAGCGAAGCTAAGATGAAGGTAAGCTAAGTTAAGATAAACCTGGGCTAAGATGAAGCTAAGCTAAGCTAAGATGAAATAAGCTAAGCTAATATGAGATAAGCAACGCTAAGCTAAGGGGACGTAGCTGGGGGAACCGCGGGGGGGATACTGGGGGAACCGCCTGGGCTGGTTCCCACTGCCTGGCCCTTTAAGCCAAGAGAGTAAGAACCCTTCTAAGCAGAGCCTAGGTAGGGAAATAGTTGCGTTTATTAATACATATATATAGTATGTTTGATCATTGGGGGGTATGTTTGACTATGTTGCATGTTTCGTCCAAAATCGCCTGCATGCGGACACGCCCGACCTAACGCTTGGCCCACCGAGGGTTGGCCTGGCGCGCCAGGGCCGGCGCCTGCTCACGGGGCCCCGCCCACGGGGCGCGCCGGTTCCTCCGGCTGCCTCCTCCGTGCGGGGGGGCTGCGGTGGCTGCTCGTCGGGTCCCGCCTCGCTGCGTGATGCCCGACCCCGAACCAGGGTTGAGTCGGGCTCGTCCCTCAACAGGGGGGACATTCCAAAATAGTCTGGGGACGATTTTTCTATTATTTTTTGACGATTTGGGGGTATTGTTTGAGTCTTTTTTATTTTTCGCCCATTGAACCCCCTGTAGAAGGACAGGCCCGACCTAAAACCAGGGCTGGACCGAAACGCTGTCCTGCTGGGCTTCGGCCGCGTTTCGTGATTCGTTTTGGCAGGGAGGTACAGGAAAACGGGAGGAGCAGAGCAAACAAAACAACACGAAAGCAAAACGAGCAACAACGTTCAGGTCCAGCCCTGCCCCGAACCAAAGCTCCAGGCGGGTTTGGGAGTTAGCGGCGGCGATCGTGGCGGCCACAAATTGGGGGCAAGGATTCAGTCGAGGAGTTGCATGCTGGTTCCCAGCCCCACCCCCTCGCTCTGCGATGCAGACGTGGCCCACGATTCGCAACATATAGCAGCCGCGAGTTGTCACTTCATGACAACATGGGTAACCAGGTTTTTTTGTGTCAGGGGCCGATTATCACATAGCCACCGCCCGTTCGGCCCCAGATTTGGTTACCTTGTCAGCCCCTCAAAACTGTTTTGAGTTCGATGTCCTCGGGCTATAATGGGCTGGGGAATTCCAGATAAGGCCTCGCCTTTGAGGGTCGAAGGAGCTGGCATCTCTTCGGTGGCGGAAGGCGGCGGAAGTAAGAAATACGTCCCCAAGAGGTGGTAACCTTTTTTGGTTCAGGGCTTCCAGAACTGGCCAGCTGAGCGACGCAAGAAAACAGGGTCGTTTGCGCCGACATTGGCGCGTAGGCTGCCCGCGTGAGGTGGCACACAAGCGCTCTTGCTGCCAATGTGGCGTTCCGCGCCTGCGGCCCGCATAAGCTGTGGCGAAAGGTCGCTGCGTCAGTTTGCGTAAGTCAGGAGGGGAAAAAACACGCAGACACAATTAATCGTCGATCCCCCGGAAAATATAGGAAACTATGGGAAGTGGAGGGGAAGACAATAACCCAGAAAATGTTGGAAAATATAGGGGAATCCTGTTATTCGTATGTATTTGTGTCTCAGGGCCCCTTCAGTAAGACCGTTATCGTGAACCCGTTATTGTGAAGGCCTTACGGCCGGTGCTGCCGACCCCGAAGGCGGGGCGTCGGGGGGGGAGGGCTCCCTCCCCCCGGTTCAGGGGGGGGTCGCTGGGCCCTTCCACCACATATTCGAGATGAGCGAAGCAACAACAAAATGAGTCCTAGACTGCGGCGTGAGGTCGCTGTGTCATCTTGCGTCAGAACCAGGACGAGGAGAAATCCGTCCGAGAGCGTTCCGGAACGCTCTCAGAGCGCTCCAGAACGCTCTGGGAAGGCCGCGGTGCCCGAGACACCTTCCTGGGCCGCTGGATCTCAGAGATTCCCGAAGTATCCTCACCCGATTTTATCTCCTGGCTCCGTCCTCCACCACATACAGTGAGGCTCCTGAAGTAAGGTCCAGTTCGGGTTCGGAAGGGGCTCGGTGGTTCCTTGGGTCTGCTGGCGTTCCCTCGCCATTGCGCCACGGAGCCCCCTCGGCGTTCCTTGGGTGATGCCTGGGGGCTGATGCCTGGGGCTGATGCCTGGGGGGCTTCGTTGGGGCTGATGCATGGGGCTGATCCTTCGTTGGAGTCGCGGGGCTGGTGCCTGGGGGCCTTCGGGACTCGTCATCCGTGCGCCCAGCTTGCAACGAAGGCCCTGCCGTTCCTTGCGCGACGCGGTTTGAGGCCCACGTGAATACCCAGACACAGCAGCGGTCACACGCGAGCCCCTCGGTTCCTTGCGATCGATGCAGGTCCAAAGTTGGCCAGGGGGGCCGTCGGGGCTCTCTCTCTCTCTCTCTCTCTTTCTCCCCACTCGTGCGTCCAGTTTTTTATATGAACAAAAGCCCAGCCGTTCCTTGCGCGGCGCTCACCAGTGGCGTTGTTTGTTTTCCTGTTGCGTGTCGCGGGCACCCGTTCCCTAGGTCTCGGCAGAGGGGGGTCTCTGTCAAAACGAGAGGCAACAATGAGGGAACGCTTCCAAAAAGGGGCTCGGTCGTTCCTCACATATGTATTATTTGATTATGGAGCAAAAGGGGCTTCGTTCCTTAGTTAGCGTTCCTTCTGGCAGGGGCCTGACTGTATTCGGGATGAGCAAATTAACAACAAAACAAGTCCTCCTCCTCCTCCTCCTCCTCCTCCTCCTCCTCCCCCTCCTCCTCCTCCTCCTCCTCCTCCTCCTCCTCCTCCTCCCCATCCTCCTCCCCCTCCTCCTCCTGGCTGCGGCGCAGAGTCGCTGTGCCATCTTGCGCAAGACACGTTCTTTTCCGTCGTTCCGCTGGGGAGTTCCAGACGGGGCCTCACCTCGACGCCGTCTTAGAAGATCCGTCGTGGCTCCGTCTTTTTCGACCCGAGTTGATCCTCGTCCTGGCTCCGCCTTATAGGACCCTGGAGGAGGATAAGGAGGAGGCAGAGGAGGAGGAGGAGGAGGAGGATGGGGAGCAAGAGGAGGAGGAGGAAGAGGAGGAGGAGGAGGAGGAAGAGGAGGAGGAGGAGGAGGAGGAGGAGGAGGAGGAGGAGGGGGGGATCGAGGAGGAGGAGGACAAGGATCGAGGAGCGAGGAGGAGCAGGAGGAGGAGGAGCAGGAGGAGGAGGAGGAGGAGCAGGAGGAGTGGGGATCGAGAAGGAGGGGCCGCTGCGTCATCTTGCTTGAGACCCGTAGTTGCTCGTCGCTCCGCGAGGGAGTTCCAGGAGGGGCCAGCGCGTCTTCGGCGCGCCTGGCCCTCCGCAAGCGCGGCCGGGCGGGAGGCAGGAGCGAGGTGTCAGAGGGAGGTGCCGGCGGCGGGCTCGCGCTGGCGGCGGGCGGCGGAATAGGGAGAGCGAGGCGCTCACGCCTTGGGGGGGGTCCAGGAAGAGGGGGGGCCAGGAGGAGGAGGAGGAGGTAGGAGAAGGAGGACGGAGGAGGAGCAGGAAGAAGGGCCAGGAGGGAGCGAGGGTCGAGGAGGAGGGGCCAGGAGGAGGAGGAGGAGGAGGAGGAGGAGGAGGAGGAGGTAGAGGGGGAGGAGGAGGAGAGGGAGGGGTCCAAGGGGGGGGGGGCAGTGAGGAGGAGGAGGGGAGGAGACGGAGGAGGAGGAGGAGGAGGAGGAGGAGGAGAAGAGTCGAAGAAGGAGGAGGAGGAGGCGAAGGAGTCGAGGAGGAGGAGGAGGAGGAGGAGGAGGAGGAGGAGGAGGAGGAGGAGAAGGGTCACGCGCTTCGTGACCCCATAGGGAGCTCCACCGAAGGCCCCAGTGGCTGTGATCACATGCGTCCCCGCCACATGTTTTGGCACACCCCTCACACGCTTCGTGTCCCGATAGGGAGCTCCACCGAAGAGGATACGCACCACTGCGGTACTCACAGCCGCATATGGTTGGGGCCTGCGCCAGGATTGTTCCCAACCCTCCTGTGAAGTTGGGTCCTCGTTTCGCATTCGCAGCGCCGCGCGTCTTCTCCTGCCTTCCTTCCCTCCTTCCTTTTTTCCTTCCGTAATTCCTTCCTTTCTCATCCTTCCTCCTCCTCCTCCTCCTCCTCCTCCTCCTCCTCCTCCTCCTCGTGCTCCTCCTCCTCCTCCTCCTCGGTCTCTGCCTTCTCCTCCTCCTCCTTCTCCTCCTCCTCCTTCTCCTCTTCCTCCGTGTCAGCATCATCATATTGATAGAAAGTGCAACCCTTATCATTATCGTCGCATGCTCGTCACACCCCTCACACGGGTCGTATCCCCGACCCCCCAGGGAACTCCACCGGAGGCCCCAGTGGTTGTGATCACATGCGTCCCCGCCACCCATGTTGGCACACCCCTCACACGTTTCGTGGCACCAAGGGAGCTTCATCGAAAGCCCCAGTGGCAGCGTTCGCATACCGCCCCCGACCATTCGGGCACACCCTTCACACGCTTTGTGGCATCAAGGGAGCTTCACCGAAGGCCCTAGTGGCAGCGTTCGTATACCGCCTCCCGACCATTTCGGCGCACCCCTCACACGCTTCGTGACCCCATGAGGAGCTCCACCGCAGGCCCCAGTGGCAGCGTTAGCATGCCGCCCCCGCACCTTGTTGGCACACCCCTCACACGCTTCGTGGCCCCATGGGGAGCTCCACCAAAGGCCCCAGTGGCAGCGTTCGCGTGCCGCCCCCCGAGCATTTGGGCACACCCCTCACGTTTCGTAGCCACTTGGGAGCTCAGCCGAAGTCCCCAGTGGCAGCGTTCGCATATTGCACCCCGATCATGTCGGCACCCCCCTTCACTCGTTTCGTGGCACCACAAGGAGTTCCACCGAAGGTCTCAGTGGCAGCGTTCGCATACCATCTCCCGACCATGTCGGCAAGCCCATCGCAGGTTTCGCGGCCCCCAGGGAGTTCCACCGAAGGCGCCCGTGGCAGCGTTCGCATACCGCTCACCAACCATTTCGGCACACCCCTCGCACGCTTCGTGGCCCCATGGAGCTCCACCGAAGGCCTCAGTGGCAACATTCGCAGACCGCCCCCCGACCATTGCGGCACACCCCTCATGCGTTTCGTGGCCCCCAGGGAGCTCCACCGAAGGCCCCATTGGCACCGTTCGCATACCGCCCCCCGACCATGTGGGCACACCCCTCACACGTTTAGTGGCACCAAGACTGCTCCACCGAAGGCCCCAGTGGCAGCGTTCGCATACCGCCCCCCGACCATGTCGGTACACCCCTTCACACGTTTCGTGGCACCGAGGGAGCTCCACCGCAGGCCCCAGGCGTTCGCATACCACCCCCCGACCATGTCGGCACACCCATCACACGCGTCGTGGCCCAATCGTTTCTCGAACACCCTTCACACGCTTCGGTTTTCGAATCATTCAGGCTTACTGCAGCTACTTCCACGTAGTCTCGTGTATTGAGCGGTCTTGCTTGTAGTCGCCTCGTGTTGTAAAATGGGTTGGGTTCTTCGTGGGGCACACCTCTCGCACGCCTCGTGGCCCCAGAGGGAGCTCCACCGAAGGCCCCAGTGGCAACGTTCGCACGCGTCCCCCTCCAAAGGCCCCGGCGACAGGGTTCGCATGCGTCCCCACGCACCCATTTCGGCACACCTCTCGCGCGCTTCGTGGCCCCATAGGGAGCTCTATAGCAGGCCCCAGTGGGAGGGTTCGTCCGCCCCGCCCATTTCTGCACACCCATCACTCGCTTTGTGGCTCCAAGGGGAGCCCCACCAAAAGCCACAAAGGCGACGTTCGCATGCGTCCGCCCTCCCCGTTTCGGCACACCCCTGACACGTTTCGTGGCCCCGAAGAGGGTTCTTCCGAAGGCCCCAGCGGCATGGTTCGCATGGCACAACCGCGCCGACTTCGGCACACTTCTCATACATTTCGTGGCCCCAAAGGGAGCTCCACCGAAAGCGGTACCCACAACGCGGCACTCACAATTGCATATGATTGGGTCTTTCGCTGGGGCAGCTGCTGGTCCTAGGGCCCGAGAACGCGCCCTGGAGGCCGAAATCTACGAAAAACGCCCGGGTTCAAATTATCTTGACGAGGACCCAACCATATGCAGTTGTGAGTACCATCGTTGTAAGTATCGCTTCCGGTGGATCTCCTCATGGGGCTACGAAGCGTGTGAACGGTGTGGCGAGATGGGGCGGGGCAGCCATGGGTGTGAGGGGTGTGCCGACATGGGGCGGTGGTGCCATGCAAACCTTCCCACTCGGGCCTTACGTGAAGCTCCCCTTGGGGCCACGAAAAACGTGTGAGGGGTGTGCCGAAATTGGGCGGTGGTCCCATGCGAACCCTCCCACTTGGGTATTAGGTGAAGCTCCACTATGGGGCCACGAAACGTGCGAAAGGTGTGCCGAATGGGGCGAGGGTCCCATGCGAACCCTCCCACGTGCATTAGGTGAAGCTCCACAATGGGGCCACGAAAAGGGCGAAAGATGTGCCGACATGGAGCGGTCGTGCCATGCAAACCCTCCCACTCGGGCCTTAGGTGACGCTCCCCTGTGGGGCCACGGAACGTGTGAGGGGTTTGCTGAAATTGGGGCGGTGGTGCCATGCGAACTTTCCCAGTGAACCTTTCGGTGGAGATCCCTTGTGGGGCCACGAAACGTGTCAGGGGTGTGCCGAAATGGAGCGGTGGTGCCATGCGAACCCTGCCGCTGGGATCTTAGGAGGAGCTCCCTATGGGTCCACGAAACGTGTGAAGGGTGATGATACTGATGCTGCTGCTGCTGCTGAGGAGGATGAGGAGGTGGACGATGATATGGATGATCATGCTAATAGTAGTTGTGTACATGGTTGTAGCAGCCATAACAACAATAGTAACCATAACCATAACAATAATCATAGTAGAAGGAAATAAGGTCATGTCAATCGTGCTCATAATAATCAGAATCATGATAACAACAGCAGTACGAATCATATACGTAATAGTAGCAACAAAACCAACAACACGCATACAAGTAATACGACCACGACTGGTAATAATAAAAGTACTACTGCATGCCAATTATGTCAAAACTAACAATAATGGCAATACCAATAATGGCGGTGGTGATGCTAATACGAATGAGACTCACAACGAATAGAATACTAGTAATAGCAATCATATGAGTGATAATCATGATGATTATGATGTTGGTGCTGGCGCTGATGTTGATGATGATGTTGATGATGATGACCACGATGCTGATGATGAGGAGGATGAGGATGAGGATGATGATGGTTATGGTGATTGTGATGACGATGCTATATGATGATGATGGTGATGAGAATGAGGATGATGATGACGATGATGATGATGATGATGATGATGATGATGATGTTGGTGCTGGTGATGGTGATGGTGGTGGTGGTGGTGATGACGATGAGGAAGAGGAGTAGGAGGATGAGGATGATAAGGATAATGATGACGATGATGATGACGATGGTGATGATGATGATGATGGTTGTGGCGGTGATCATGATGGTGGTGGTGAGGGGTTATGATGATGATGGTGATGCTGATGATACGGTCGGGGCGTTGGTTAAGGAACGTGCACGGGAGGCTTCAGACTTTGGAGGGTTCCTTATCTGATGAGGGCGGCGGTGATATCCACTGCCAATCCGCGATTCGGGTTCCACCGGCTTCCAGACCCTGGATTATGTATCGAAGGGCTCCTAGTTCAAAGCCTCGACCGTAATGCTTATGACGATGATGATGAAGAAGATCATCAAGATGATGAAGGTGATGATGATGAGGAGAATGACGAAGATGATGGTGTTGATGATGTTGATGATGATGATGATGATAATGATGATGATGATGATGCTGATGATGATGATGATGATGATGATGATGATGATGATGATGATGATGATGATGATGATGATGATGATGATGATGATGATTATTGGAGGAGGGAGGGGGAGAGGGAAGGAAGAACCGCGGGGCGCTGTCTCTTCAAAACGGGTACGAAAATACACAGGATGGTTGGGAGGAGTCGTATCGTCGGAGATCTGGGAAGTCGTCTCCGTCGTCGCCGCCATCCCCGCCGTTGCCGTCGACGTCGCCGCCGTCGCCGCCGCCGTCTGCGGCGTGGCGCGCCAGCTGGCGGGGCCCTGGCCTAAGCCTTGGGTCGGGCGCAGAGGCGCTGGTCCGGGCCGCCCTGCGCGGCAAGGGCCCAGGCCACCGGCTGCAGTTCGAGGACGTGCGCCAGGCGTGCCTTGGCGCCAAGGAGTCCTGGGGGATTCGAGGTTCGAGCGTGGACGTTTGTGCTCTTCGTTTTTGAGCCTCCAGGGGTCTCCTCGTCGCCACAGCTGGGATCCGCCTTGAAGCCCTGGCCCGAACGCACCCGAGAACAGATCTGGGGATCAATCTCTGACCCTAGATCCGAGGTTCAACTTTCGAGGTTTCTGGAAATTGTTCGCCTTTTTGAAATCTCTGGGCGGCTCGTCGTCGCCACGGCCAGGTTCCGTGCGAGATCCTCGACGGATCGCACCCCTGGAGAGGTCCTGAGGTCGAGCTTCGGCTCCAGGACCCAGACCGCTCCACGTCGTGAGAAAGCACCGCGACGGACGGTTCTCGCGACCTCTGGGTGGTTCTGGCAGGCCAGGAGAACGTCAAAAGTCGGCCCAGGATGAGAAGCGGTCCTGGCGAAGGGGTCCAGACCTTCAGGGGTCAACGCTGCGAGACGCACACGACGTCGGAGTTCTGGGTTCGCAGAAAGGGGGTACAATCGGACCGAGGTGTTGAGGTTCGGGGAGGGTGCCCTAATGTTTTTTCGTGCTTGTTGGTTGCTCTTGTGCATCCTGTGGAGGGTACCCTTGGATGCTTTCTCATGCTCTCGAGTGATGCTCGCCTGGCCCAGGTCCCACTGTATTCTCGTGGCGGGGAGGAGGAGGAGGAGGAGGAGGAAGAGAGGAGGTGGAGGGAGAGAGGAGGAAGAGAGGAGGAGGAGGAGGGAGAAGGAGGAGGAGGAGGAGGAGGAGGGGGGAGCGGAGGAGAGGAGGGAGGATCAGGGGAGAGGCGGAGAAGGGGGGGTGCTGTATCCCAGGGCGAGGGGTGGGGAGCGAGCCCAGGCAGATGCTGCCAGGAGCCGCCTGGAGCGGCTCTCCTCCTGCCTCGCCTCTGCCCTTGCCCCGGCCCCACGCCCCGCCGAGCTATTCGGGTGACGCCGCCGCCCAGAGTCGCACCTCGAACGAAAAAAAAAAAAAAAATCGAGAATTTCGCCTGAGCTCTGCGCGCCCTTCCCCGCCTCCTCCTCCTCCCTCCTCATCCTCCTCCCCTCCCTCCTCCCCTCTTCCCCCTCCCTCCTCCTCCTCCTTCTCCTTCTCCTCTTCCTCCTCTCCTCCTCCTCCTTCCGCCTTCCCCTCACACTTCCCCTCCCCCTCCCCCTCTCCTCCTCCTCCTCTCTCCTCCTCCTCCTCCTCCCCCTCCTCCTCCTCCTCCCTCGTCGTCCTCATCTCCTCCTCCTCTTCATCCTCCTTCGTCCCTCCTCCTCCTTCCTCCCTCCTCCTCCTTCCTCCTCCTCCTCCTCTCCTCCCTCCTCTCTCCTCCTTCTCGTTCCTCCTCATCATCCCTCCTGCCCTCCTCCTCCTCCTTCATCCTCCTCTCCTCCTCGTCCTCCTTCCTCCTCCTCCCTCCTCCTCCTCCTCCTCTCCTCCCTACCCTCCTCTTCCTCCTCCTCCTCCTCTCCTCATGCTCATCCCTCCTCCTCTTCCCTCTCCTCCCTCCTCCTCCTCCTCCTCTCCTCTTCCTCCTCCTCCTCCTCCTCCTCATCATGCTCCTCCTCCTCGTCCTTCTCCTCCGCCTCCTCCTCCTCCTCCTCCTCCTCCTCCTCCTCGTCCTTCCGCGCTGCCACGGCCAGATTTTCCTCGAGGTCCTTGCCAGAGCTCACCAGGGCAGCTCGTGATGACCCAAGCTGTGAAAAATACATGATGTTGGGGGCCTGGGTCTTGCGTTGAACTTTTTTGTTCGGCGGCGAGCGAGAGGGGAAAGTGAGAAGGAGAAGACCTTCTCAGAAGGTTGGGAAGTCCCCCGGCCGTCTGAGAGGTTTTTGGGCCTTCCCCGAAGACAGAAAAAGCCCTTCAGATGGCGCGAGAGCTTATGAGAAGTCCCGCCGCCTTCTGAGAAGGCCTTCTCCTTCTCACTTCCCCCCCTCGCTCGCCGCCGTCTTGCATCATGTTGGAACTCCTGGGTTTGGGGGGGCTCGTGAGGCGTGCTCTGGGGGCCATCGGGGCCTCTGTGGAAAAGCTGAGGTCACCTTGGACCAGAATCCTCACGAGGCTCAGTTGGAGATGCTCGACATGTTCTTGTGCTGTTGACGCTCTGTTACGATTCGTGAGGCTTTCTGGGCCCCAGCGTGATTGCTTTCAGCGGTGCTTCGTCGTGTGCCTTCTGGGGAGACCAGGATCGTCCCCAACGGCAGCGAGCCAGCCTGACGGCGCTACAAATGCCCCGCAACAAAGCACGGGGACTGCTGCTGGGAATACATTATGTCGGAAATTGGAGCATACACATTACCGGTGGCGGGCTGTTTTTCAATCCCTCGACTTCTTGAGGGTCGATGACGTCGCTGGGGTGGTGTGGTGTATACTTTTTCCCCGATTTCCCGGGGAAACAACGAAAAATGTATACACCAAGGTCCCGTATACACCAGAATCCGCTCTCCAGTGTAATTTCCAATGCAGGGCCGGAAGAAGCGTCGGTGTATAGAGTTCGATTCTTTATTCTGGCGATTGGTGGCGAAAACGCTCGCCGAGCAATTCCGAATTGACTTGCCACGGTCGCTCCTGGCCCGGGCGCCGCGAACAAAACGCGACAGGTACTGTTTCACCTGTCTCGGGCACGTGGGACATTCGCAGATCCATCCAGCTCGACAAAATCTCGTGCAGAGATGGGATCGCCAGCTCCGGTCTTGATGCTATAGGCTTACGCCACATCCGCCGACCGCTCGATAAACTACTGCGCCTCCAGGACTGCATTCCTCGTGGCGAGGATTCTCGCGGGCCTCTTCGAGGCAGTTTCGAAGGGTCTTGGGGGGCGTTTGGGGGCTTCTTTTGGGTCTCTTAGGGGCTCCTTGGGGCCTCTTGGGTGCCTCATGGGGGCCTCTTGGGGCCGCTTGGGCCCTTCTTGGGGCCGTCTTGGGGCCTCGTGGACGGCCTTCAACGCCGTGAAGGCTAACAAGTTGGATATGCTGAAAATGCACGTTTTCCCAAGGAAGTTTCAAGATTTTGGTTTCTTGGGGGCTTCTTGGGAGGCCTCTTGGACGCTTAATGGGGTGTCTTGGCGACCTCTTGGGCCGTTTTGAGCTCATCTTGGGCGTCTTGGAACGATCTTTCGGCGACTTGGGGTTCTCGTGGACCGTCTTGGCGGCTTCTTGGGAGGCGTCAAGTGCTGTCGTGCAGCTTAAGAAGGAGCCCAGGGAGCCCAGACCGCCCCGGATGAGTTCGGTCCGGGAACGTCCAATCCCGGTTCCCACCCACCAACCCGCAGCTTGGTTTGCAAAATCTCTTAAGACCGTGACGGTGGGTACCAAATGGCACTTGGCAACGACAGCGACGCCGACGACGACAGCGACAACGACGACGACGACGCCTCTGACAACGACTACGACGACACCGACGACGTCTCCAACGACTTCGACGACGCGCGACAACGACGACGACGACGACGACGACGACGACGACGACGACACCGACGACGACGACGACGCCGACGCCGACGACGACGACGACGATGACAACGACGACGATGACGACGGCCGACGACGACGACACGACGACGCCGACGACGGACGACGACGGACACGACGACCGAACGACGACGACGACGACGACGACGACGACGACGACGGCGGCGACGACGACGACGCGACGGCGACGACGACGAGACGACGACGACGACGACGACGACGACGACGACGACGAGACGTCGCCACCGAAGACGACGACGAGGGAGGGAGGGAGGACGACGACGGCGACAAGGGACGACAACGACGAAGGGAGGAGGGAGGACGGCGACGACGCGAAGACGAAGAAGAAGGAGGACGGCGACGCCGACGAGACAACGACGAGGGAGGAGGGAAGACGACGACGACACGACGACGACGACGACGGCGACGAAATAGGAGGGACGACGACGAGACGCCGACGACGGACGACGACGACGACGAGGGAGGAGGAGGAAGGACGACCACGGCGACAACGACGACGGAAACGACCACGACGCCAAAGAGGACGACGACGACGAACACGAGGAAAGACAGAAAACAATGTAGGCGACGACGACGACGACGCGGGAGGAGGGAGGACGGCGACGACTACGACGACGACGACGACGACGACGACGACGACGCAAGAGCGCGCGCGCGCACGCTTTTGTTGAAAATCCGTGTTGCGAAACCTTGTGTTTTTGTAGGTTTCGTGGACGCACGATTTTGAAATCCTTCCGAAACCGATGGAATTTGAGTGATTTCGGCATACGCGCGCGACGACGCGCGCGCCTGCACTTCGTCCCATTTTTTGCAGAGGATTCTCGCGACAGCACACGCGCAAAGGCGTTCGACAGATTTCGACATGCGCGCGCGAGAAGCCCGTTTGGTAGCATGTTGTGCAAATATTGAAAACCTATGGTTTGTTTTAAGATTTCGCAAGAGCTCGCGCGTAAGCTTTTTTAGCAAATCAGTGTTGCGAAACCATGTGTTTTTGTATGTTTTGTGGAAACTCGATTGCGAAATCCTTCCGACACCGAAAGTTTCAAGGATTTCGGCATTCGCGCGCGACGACGCGCGCGTGTGCACTTCGTCCCGTTTGTTGGAAAAAGTCTTATGTTAGAGCAAAAAATGTTCCCGCGAATTGTTTCTTTCACAAGGGAACCTCAGGGGGACCGATCCCGGCCCCCCAGGGATACTACAAATTCAAATTGAGGATGGACATGTGGTCAGAATCATACATGATTTACATACCCAAAAGGGGTGCGGATAACTCCAGGGGGGGTGGAGTCTATTTTCTTTTTAGAAAGGAGAATCAATCTCACACGCCCGGAGACCCACAAGGGGTCGGCGGATTTTTCTCTGCGCGGAGATTTTTGGGGGCCCCAGGAGGTTTCGTGAGGTTTCGGATGTTTTCGTGTGCTCTCGAAGGCTTTCTCGCCTTCGGGGTGCGCTCCAGCAGTTGCGCCTCGCCGGGAGCCTTCCTGGAGTGCCCAGATCCTTCCGAACGGCCGCCAGGGGCCCGAGTTCCTTAGACCCCCGACGTCATGATTTTTGTTCATGCCGTCGACCCTCGGAGGTGTGGACCCATTCACCGGGTCCGGCTCCTCCTTCTCTTTCTCCCCCTCCTCCTACATTCCTTCTCCTTATAGATAACTCCCCCGAGTCGCACCCCGAGGCCAGTTTTTAGGGCGGGCTGGGCGTTTCGCCTGAGACATCCTCACCACTCATGACTCTGAAGCTTAAAAAGTGACAACCGTTTCGCAGATGGAGGGCGGGTGGTTTTCAATATGTGGCTTTCGCCTTAGCGCCGCGCAGATTGGTTTCAAAATTGGCAAGATACTGAAAACGAAGCTGGCCTGCGAATTGGTGCCACACGAGAGTTTCTTTACTCCCGATGGGCCCACAGGACGCCAGATGCCAGAGGCGAGCGTGGCCCCAGGAGCACCTTGCGAGGCTCAGGGGCGACACGCAAGATTCCTGGTCGTGGGTGTCTATTGTAGCGGGTCGACGGGGGGATCTCGGGCCTCGGGCGGTCCGCGAAGGAGGTCCACCGATCACGGGAGCACCCGTCGACGAGAAGGACGAGGACGAGGAGGAGGACGACGAAGACGAGGACGAGGACGAGGACGAGGACGAGGACGAGGAGGAGGAGGAGGACGAGGAGGAGGAGGAGGAGGAGGAGGAGGGGGAGGAGGAGGAGGAGGAGGAGGAGGAGGAGGAGGAGGGAGGAAGAGAGGAGGAGGAGGAGGAGGAGGAGAGGAGGAGGAAAAGGAGGAGAGGGGGGGCGGGGGAGGACGAGGAGGACGAGGAGGACGAGGACGAGGAGCAGGAGGAGGAGGAGGAGGAGGAGGAGGAGGAGGAGGAGGGAGATGGGGGATGGGAGGCGGGCGCCTGCCTCCTCCACACCTCCGCGGCGGGCGCCGGGCGTCGGCGCTGCGGAAAACGCGACGTGCAAGCATCCAGCGGCAGCAGGAGGAGGCGCAGGAGGAGCGCAAACGCAGCGGGGGGGTTCCGCTGGCGCTCGGCGTCGGGACACTGGCGGATCTTGCATACAAGGTGTGCGCATCAGCAGGAGGAGGACTTCGCCGACGAACGGCGACGGGGAGGTGGGGGATGGCGGGCGGATGCTTGCCTCCTCCAGCCCCCCCCCCGCGTTGGGGACCCGGCGGGGCGCGGCGGGACGCAGTGAGGATCAGTATTTCTACCAAGACATCCGCCGTTGATGATGATGATGATGATGATGATGATGATGATGATGATGATGATGATGATGATGATGATGATGATGATGATGGTGATGGTGATGGTGATGGTGATGGTGATGGTGATGGTGATGGTGATGGTGATGGTGATGGTAATGGAGAATGTGATGGTGATGGTGATGATGATGATGATGGTGGTGATGACAGTGATGGCGATGATGATGATGATGATGATGATGAGCATGATGATGACGGTGATGATGATGATCATCATCATCATAATCATTATCATGATCATGATCCTGATGGTGGTGGTGGTGAAGGTGATGGTGGTGGTGGTGGTAACGATAATGGCGATGACGACGATGGTGCTGGTGATTGTGCTGATGATGGTGATGATGATGACGATGGTGGTGATGATGATGATGATGGTGATGGTGATTGTGATTGTGACGGTGATGGTGATCGTGATGATGATAGTGCGAATTATGATGACAATGATGGTGATAAGGTGACGGTGATGATGGTCACGATGATGGTGATGCTGATTGTGATGGTAATGGTGATGATGATGATGATGGTTATGCTGATGGTGGTGATGGTCATGATGGTGATGGTGATGGATGCCCTGATGGTAATGAAGATTGGATGATGGTAGTGACGATGATGATGGTGGTGATGCTGACGATGATGGTGATGGTGTTGATGGTGATGATGATGCTGATGATAACGATGATGATGATGCTGCTTATGCTGATGATGATGATGATGGCGACGATGAGACTGATGGTGATGATGAAGGTGGTGACGCTAATGATGCTGAGGTCAATGTTGACGATGATGATGGCGATGATGATGATGATGGCGATTGTGATTGTAATGATGGTGATGATGGGGAAGATACGATCATGATGACGATGTGGATGATGATGATGGTATTGATTTTGATGCCGATGCTGCTGCTGATGATGATGTCGCTGATGATGATGATGATGATGCGCTGATGATGATGATGGTAGTGCTGATTGTGATAATGATGATGGTCATGATTTTGGCGATGCTGATGCTGATGGTGATGGTGATGATGATGATGGTTATGATGATGCAGATACTGAAGATGAAGTTGATTATCAAGATGGTGATGGTGATTGTGATGGTGATGACGACCGTGACAGTGATGGTGATGATGATGGTGGTGATCATGATGATGATGATTGTGATGATGACGATGTTGATGGTGATGGTGAATGCGATGGTGCGTGTGATGGTGGTGATGATGATGTTGACGATGGTGATGGTGATGACGGTGATGACAGTGGTGATGCTGATGGTGGTGGTGATGATGATGGTGATGTCAACGATGATGCTGGTGATGCTGGTGATGATGTTGCTGCTGATGATGATGGTGGGTAGTGATGACGGTGATCACGGTGCTGGTGATGTCAACGACGGCAGGCTCCGGATGCCGAAGTCGAGGAAAAACGCCCAGTCTGAAAAAGCGTACCGCCGAAGATCTGGGACAGAGGGAGTGGTTCACACCTTGGCGCGGGGCGTGGCGGAGCGCCCCTCCCAGCCGCCTGGGGAGGAGCTGTGCTTCCTGCACCCCCTGAGCCACACTCTGGACGCGTCTACCTTCACAACCCGCAGCGCGGCCGCGGACATCGGGGAGCGACCAGAGGAGGGGCGAGGAGGGAGGAGGGAGGAGGAGGGCGAGGAGGAGGAGCCGCAGCGAAGGCAGGACGAGAAAGGGGAGGAGGGGGCGGAGGAGGAGGAGGAGGAGGACGACGACGAGGAGCAAGAGGAGGAGCAGGAGCACACCAGAGAGGCCGGAGAAGAAGGGGGCGGCCGCACCTGCACCCAGACCCCCCCCCCGCGTTGTGAAAAGCCACGACGGCCTGCTTTTTGTTTAGAAAGCTAACCAGAACTGTCAGAGAGCTAAACAGGATGAAAAGAGCTGGTTACAGGGGAGGGGTCCAAACCTTTGGGAGGTCCACATTGTGAGAAGATCGTGACGTCGCGGGTCTGGGTATACCGATGCCGCTACTCCCTGGAACCCTCCTTGTTCGCGTTTGCGGCCAGGGTCCGGAGGCGAGACCAGCCGTGGCGACAAGGGGGGCCCCAGGAGGCCCCCTCCAGGCGAGAACGAGGGAGTGGCATTGGCCAGCGGTATCACTGTGTTTTCCGCCGCCGCCGCCGCATCCGCCGCCGCCGCTATCGCCGCCAGGACTTGTAAGAGTGACCCTTCGCCGGAGTGACCCTTCGGTGGGCGGTTCTCCTGGCGGTCGCGCCGCACAGGGCGATCGGCCAGCCGCGCACCAAAGGTCACTCCTTGCCCAGCCCAGTCCGCCGACGATGCGATTTTTCATGACGTGGACCCCCAGAGGTTTCGACCACTTCCCGTGAATTTGATCTTCAGGCCGAGCCATTTTGTCGACGGTCCAAGGGCCCGGCGAGGACCCCATCCACGCCCGAAAACGACGACAAGGTTCCGTTCTGATTTGTCCAGCAGTACGCTGTAGGCCTGGACCCAGGGTCACTCTTGCTGGGGTCGGCGCGGGGGGTGCTAAGAGAAAAGGGGGTGATCAGTGGATGCCAAGGTGGGCTATATCTGGCCCATCCTAGCGGATTAGTGGGTAGCAGATGTTGCAGGTGGTTCGGGCGGTTAGATGACTCCGCTGAGTGGGCGGAGCCCATTGCGCCCAGGTCGGGAGCCCCCCCGAGCCACTTGGAGCATTTGCAAAGCACTTACTTGGCACCGCTCGGACGTGTGCATTTGTTCTCGGCGAGGACCATCGAAGAGCATCCTGGATCATCGAGCAAGAAAAACACGCACAAAACCGAAAAACGCACAGGGAATGGACGCCCGCGCGACGGGAAGCTTATCATCGGCTGCACGCAGGAGAGAGCTTTCGCCAGAGTGACCTCTGGTGCGGGCACGCTTGGGGCCCCCAGACGACCGACCGCGCTGCGATGGCAGCGCCGTGCGCGCTCGGGTCTGCCCCCAGAAATTGCGCACCGGGCCGCACCTGCCTGCGGTCACTCTTGCGTGCAGCCGGTAGGAGTACACCTTGTTCACTTCTAAGGCTTCGAGGGTTATTTGATATTCTGGGGGGGCCAAGATCCTTTCATTCCTAATTGTTCTATCCTGGGCCTCTTCCTGGCCACTAGGGGGCCAGGAACCATTAGAAACGAGCACAATCAGAAATGAGCTGGATTGGAAATGAGCGACGCGTAGGCCAGACCAGGCAGCACCAGTTTAGGCATGCTCCTATCCCCTTGAGCAGCCCCGCGCCGATCCCAGTGCGTGCAGCCGCTTTGACACCTTTCAGGACCTGGACGTCGACGAAGCCGGCCATGTCGCCAAGCAGCGGGCCAGGCTGCCCGCCCCCGGCCAGCGCGTGCTCGGCGCCGCCCTCTTCGCGACGGCGGCCGCGCCTGGCGCTGGCGCCGGCGAGGCGTGCGAGGTTCGCGCCGACGGCCGACGATGCCGAAGCCGACGGCCGACGCCGCCGCCGCCGACGGCCGCCGCCGACACCGCCCACGCCCGCAACGCCGACTCCACCGACGCCGCTGGCGACGACGACGGCCGACGGCGACGGCGGCACCGCCGAGGGCGCCGCCGACGACGACGACGACGACGACGACGACGACGACGACGACGACGACGACGACGACGACGACGACGACGGCCGACGGCGGCGGCGTCGGCGTCGGCGGCGGCGCTGCGGCGGCGGAGGAGGACGCCGGAGCCGCTGGCGCTGGCGGCGGCGACGCCAGCGACAGCGGGATGGTCCGGGAGGGCCGAAATCGGGGCGAAGCTAACCCAGACCCCCTCATGTCGAGGTGGAGATCCAGGTCGCGGTCGAGGCTTCTCTCGAGGTCGAGGACTTTTGGCAGTTTCGACCCCTCTCTCGTGGCCATGGCTGGCCTTCCCTCGAAGTTCCTGCCAGAAGGCGCCCCTGGAGATGTTCGGCGGTCGAATGTGGCCCCACGGACCCAGACCCCCTTGGCGTCGTGAAAAAAGCACACGACGGACAGTTCTTCGCCAGTCTCTGCCTTCGGGTGCCCTTGCCAGGCCCCAGGGCCATCGGTAATTGTTCTGGATGAGAAAGACGGTCGCGGAGACGGAGTCCAGACCTCTGGGCGGCCCACGTTGTGAAAAAACACACACACACACACACAAAAAAAAACACACACACACACACACACACACACACACAAAAAAAAAAAAAAAAAAAAAAAAAACGTCGGGGTTCGCGAATAGAGTGGCAGGTCGGGAGGGCGAAGTGCCTCCGAGCCCCGAGCTGGCAGGGCAGGTGAGTGGCCAGGGATAACTCCTGGTGCTGGCATCCAGTTTTCGCGCCAGTGCTTTCCCTGAGTGCATTCCACCCTCCTCCTTCTCCTCCTCCTCCTCCTGCTCCTCCTCCTCCTGCTCCTCCTCCTCCTCTTCCTCCTCTTCTCTTTCTTCATCTTCCTCCTCCTCCTCCGCCTCTTCCTCCTCCTCCTGGATCATGCGCTTCTAGGAGTTTCCCGCTTCAGTTGAGGGCCCGAAACAGGGCCTACCCAGACCAGGTCTGTCTCGGGTAGTTCGGAAGCCTACCTCTCGGGGGCGTCCAAGATGGGGGAGGGGGGCGGGGGACCAGGGAGGTGTGACATCGTGGCCAGGGCCACGGAACTATTCCCAGATCTTGTGGCGACCTCTTCTTGTTCTTTTTGCTTGTTTTTATTTCTCTTCCCAGCACTTCCCCCGACCCCCTGGTCCGCGCACATGGCTCGGCCTATGATGGCATGGCCCCCCCCATCCTGGCCCCCTCTTCAGCGCACCTGGAAACCGGGACGCACGAGCGGATCGGGACGGCCGAGACGAACATCGGCCACCCTTCGCGTTCGGAGCAGGGCGGATGACTGACAGAGCTTCCTGCTCTCATCTTGGGCGGGACTCGCTGTCGTCGACTAAACGTACGAGTGACCTTTCGCCGGAGTGACCTTTGATGCGGGCCCATGGGGTCCCCCGATCACCGAAAGCGATGCGATAGTAGCGTCCTGCGCGCTTGTGTTTGGTCCCCCCGCAGCCCCCACAAAGCCGCGCACCAAATGTCACTCTTACCCAGGGTCACTCTTGCTTGTAACCGATGTCGGCTTCCGGCCGAGAGAGGCCCGTGCGTGTGGGAAAAGGTTGCCTGGACAACAGCAGTAGCCGCCTGACTGTTTGGAACAAGGTTTGCTGTCGGACGCCGTCGGAAACAACAATAAAACAAATGAGCCCGGCGCGACCTCAATTAGGGGAAAGTATCCTATTGCATTGGCGCATTTCTTTGTATTGCTCAGCAATGAGTGGCACCGCTTGGCATTGCGTGGCATTGCTTTGCATGGATGTGCATTGCTTGGCGTTGGCTGGCATTGATTTGCAATGCCAGGGAGCCCGAGGAACAAGACCAGTGAACCTAAGAACCCCCAGCAAGGAACAAAGCTGGCAAACCTGGGGAGTCCGAGGAACAAGACCAGGGAGCCCGAGGAACCCAAGCAAGGAGCAAGACCGGGGAACTTGGGGAGCCCAAGCAAAGAACAAAGCTGGGGAAGGAACAAGACCAGGGAGAAGAATAAACGCAAGGAACACAAGTGGGGAACCCAAGGCCAGGAAGCAAGACCAGGGAACTCAGGGGAACCCGGGCGCGACAGGGTCCAGCATTCCTTGGTTTCTTCAACATCAAAACAAACCCCCATAAGGCAAAGCCCGATAGGGGAAAAGCAAAGAAAACGTCGGGCGCCATCCCAGCTGGTTGGCCAGGCTCGCGTCGTGTCGACGCGGCGGAGACCCCGGCGCGGGGCGTTCAAGGCTGAACGCCGCCAGTGGCGTGGAGTCGGCCGATCTTGAACCATCCGCTCTGTCGGAACGTCTCGATCGTGTTCGATGCTGAACGATCCGTGCGGCATCAGAAGCCCACGCGGAAGACACCACGACACGAGCCTGCCGTACCATGTCCCCATGTCGGGCGCGCCCTTGGAGCATGTGTTTGATTAGATTACGAGCGGCTTGCTTGCATGGGTGGGGGGGTCCCGGCGAGGCCCTGGAGGAAAGTTGGACATCGCGCAGATCGGAAGTATTTGCACGCTTTTTCGGCCAAGTGCTGGACGAAGAGGGGGCGAGGGGCCGAGGGGAGAACGGAATGGGGCCAACTGCCCTTGGGGCTTTCTTGGGCGTTTCTTTGGCCGTCCTGGAGCTATCTTGGAGGCCCACGGGGCTGGCTATCTTGGAGGCCCCTGGGGCCGTCTTCGACTTCCAGAAACCCGAAGAGGTGAGAGCGGGAAAAGCATTGAAGAACAGTATATGGCCTCCCAGGCTTCCGACGTCGTGACTGTCTTTGCAATGTGGACCCCTGGAGGTGTAGACCACTTCGCGGCCTTCTCCCCCTCCTCCTGCTCCTCCTCCTCCTCCTCCTCCTCTTCCTCCTCCTCTTCCTCCTCCTCCTCCTCCTCCTCCTCCTGCTCCTCCTCCCTCCTCCTCCTCTTCTCTCTCCTCCACTCCTCGTCCCTCCTCCACCTCCTCCTCCTACTCACTCCTCCTCTCCTCCTCCTCCTCCTCCTCCTCCCCCTCACCCCTCCCCCTCCCTCCTCCTCCTCCTCCTCCTCCTCTCTCCTCCTCCTCCTCCTCCTCCTCCTCCTCCTCAGCAGCAGCAGCATCATCATCATCAGCAGCATCATCATCATCCTGCTCTTCCTCCTCCTTCCCCCTCCTACTTGCTCCTCCGTCAGGACTAGCTTTTCATCCTGGGTCGTTGTATGATGATATTGGGTCCCGTCGAAGGCCCCCAGAGGCCGAAGATTGCCAAAAATGTCCCGTCGCGATGTTTGCTTCGGGACGCGGGGAGTTCTGAGCGCCTGGTGGTCAAAACTCGACCCCCAGACCTCTCCAGGAGTGCATTCTGGCCAGAATCTCCACGGAAATCTGGCCGTGGCGACGACGAGCCGCCCAGAGGCCCAAACAGGGCTAGCAACTTCCAGAGACCTCGAAGTTCGAACCTCGGACTTCGAACTACGGAACTCCTGGGGCACTCGCGCAAGCAAACCTGACAGCATCTGGGCAAAAGCAGGCCCCAGAAGATCAGGGGCGGCCAAGAGGGGTGTGGCCAGCTGGGCGGGGAGAGCATGGCTGGGGCCATGATACGCTGGGGGCGTTCGTTAAGGAACGTGCCCAGGAGGCTTCAGACCCTGGAGGGGTTCCTGATCTGGTGAGGGCGGCGGCGATATCCGTGGCCAATCCACGATTGGCTTGCCACTGGCTTCCAAACCCCGGATTCCTTACAGTGCCGTTTTGAATACATGCTCCGCGTGCGGACCGTGTATTAGAAATAAAGGGTTGAATAATAAATGCAAGGATGAGTTCACGCATTAATTTATTCATAAATTGATCATGTATTAAAATCCGATATGTTTATGACGAACCAACAACACACACATACCCATAGAGGGGTCGGAGAGGGCTATGGGTGCGTGTTGTCGGATGAGGTTCCCCGCTCGAACGGGAGCGTTCCCCGGGGTCCGACAACCCGCACCCATACCCATAGCCAGTCCTCCTCCCAACGACCCCCCTACGGGTATCGGTGTGTGTGTGTTGCTCGTTCGTCAATTCGAACATCCTATGTGTTAAGAACTGCCCTGTACCGTAGGTCTCCTTACAGTGCCGTTTTGAATACATGCTCCGCGTGCGGACCGTGTATTAAAAATAAAGGTTTGATCCATACGTGCAAGGATGAGTTTACGCACTAATTGATTCATCAATTCATCATGCATTAAAATCATATGTGCTTTATCATTGTTAAAAGAATATATACAAACAAAAAACGATGTATCAAAAGCTGCCCTGTATCGTAGGTCCCCTTAGCCAACGCCATCACCGTGTCTTCCCCGACGTCGTGGCTCCCTCGTCCTGCTGCAGCCGAACAGAGGCCCTCGCGCGCCCGTGCTGCATATCGCAGCGCGTGCCGTGTTCAGAACGCACGGGGAGGAGGAGGGGGAGGAGGAGGAGGAGGAGGAGGAGGAGGAGGAGGAGGAGGAGGAGGAGGAGGAGGAGGAGAGGAGGAGGAGGAGGAGAAGGAGGAGAGGAGGATGAGCGAGGAGGAGGAGGATGAGGAGGAGGAGGAGATGAGGAGGAGGATGAGGAGAGGAGGAGGAGGAGAGGGGAGAGAGGAGGAGGAGGGGGAGGAGTTGAACACGGTGCGTGTTGTCCCGGTATGTGTTGGCCCCCTGGGTCGCCGTGTCGCGCACGTTGAAGGTGCTTCTCGCGCAGGCGTGCCCTCGTAGCAATCACCTCTGGTTTCGGGCTCTCGTCTCCTGGTTTTCTCTTTGCGGAGCCACGCGGCCTAGCAGCGCGAGCTGCTCACGGCATGCGCGAGCTTGCTTTGCGAATGAAGCCCATCCTCCTCGGTGTGCGCCAAAAAAAATGTGTTGACCTCCTGGGGCCCTCTGGGCCTCGTGAGGGGTGCTCTGGAGGCCGTGGTGGCCTCCTTGGAAATCCTGGGGGTACCTCGGGCCAGGGACACTTCTAGCAGCACCCGAAGCGTATCGCGCCAGACTCTTATTTCCAATATATACGTGCTGAGCTCCGTGTCAACACGTTGCGGGTTGCAGGTTGCGCATCGGGGCAGCTAAGCTTTCGACACGTCCTTGGTGCCGCCCCCCCCTGGGCCGCGCACATGTTGCGGGCCAGGATCTGCAAACCCAGACATCTGGCTGCTCCCAAGTTTCCAATGCGTGGGCCCTGGAGGTCCGGACCACTCCCCTAGGACCGATTTTTCGTCCTGGGTCGTTGTTTGACGGCCCTGGGGCCCGACGAGGTCCCCCGGAGGCTGAAAACATCCAGAACCGCCCGCCTCAAACTGTTGGAGCGTCGGGTCTCTGGGAGGAGAGGGCAGGGAAAAGGAAAGACAACAACAAAAAAAACACGCTCGCCTCAATGTTTGTCGGAGCGCCGGGTCTCTGGGAGACTGAAGGGGCCCTGGGACACACAAATAAATACACACAACAACAAAAAAAACATTCCCCATATTTTCCCATATTTTCTGGGTATCTGTCTTCCCCCCCACTGCCCATATTTTCCCATAGTTTCTGGGGAATCGACTATTCATTGTGTCTGTGTGCTTTTTCTCCTCCTGAGAGACCCCCCTTCGTGAGCGCCCCCAGAGAAGGCGGAGCCCGGCGACGCCCGGCCGCCGGACACCGACTCGGGCGGCGAGCGCACGCCCACCCCGAGGCAGAAGGCCCCGGGCGGGGGGCAGCGGCAGAAGTTCGGGGGCGGAAAAGAGGGGGGTGATGAGTAGGGGGGGGTGGGGGGGGATTTCATGGCGCGGGCCATGATTTTTCCTCAGATTTCACGGCGCCCCTTCTTATTTCTTTACGTCCTTGGCCCCCCCGCTGGGCCGCGCACATGCCGCCAGTCATGATTTGCGCCCCCTCCTCTTGGACACCCCCCTCTTGGCCGCTCCCGAGAAGTGGTGGCCCTTCCCAGACCCCCTCGAGCAAGGGAAAAATCAGGACGGAAGGTTTTTCTTCATTTTCGGCCTCCGGGGACCCTCACCTGGCCTCGGGAGCGTCAAAGAACGACTCAGGATGCAAGGCCGGGCATGGGGAGGGGGTCGGGACCTCTGGGGGTGGACGTAACGAAAAAAACACTGCGTCGGGGGTCTGGGTTCTCGCGGGTCGGGCGGAGCGGGGGGGGATACAGCCTGGGGCCCGCGGGGCAGAGCTGCGCGATCTTCGGTTCGTTTCAGACTATAGATCGCGATCCAGTCCGAACGAGGTGAGTCCGCTCTGAACTGGTTCACGGTTCCGTTTGGACTAGATTTGGATCGAATTGGGGTTGAAAAATTGCACCAGACGATCTCAGGGAGAGGTCCAGGAACCGATTTTGAACGGATTTGGTCTTCTCTCGGGACGCACGGAGGAGAGGGGATCCTGGGCGTCCTAGATGGGGTCCGGGTAGGTGGGGTCGGAGGATCGCGCCGCATCGCTGGTGCATCGGCGATGCGGCTCGATGTGGAACCCGACTTTCTCCACGCTGTCGTCGCCGATGCATCGCCGACGTCGCCGAGGCATCGGTGATGCAGTGACGATGCGGTGCCATCCTCTGACCCCATCTGGGAGGCCTCTAGGGATACAGCCTTGACCCTCCACCTTCCACACCTTCCGACCAGCAGGTGGCTGAGTCTGTGATTTTTTCGGGGGGGAAGCTACATAAACATTTACTTTCAGAGATCATCGCGGAGTTCTTGGATCCGCGCAGAGCCCCGCTGGCGCACTCCGCGCGCCAGGGAGGGGGTCCAGCAGCGCAGATCCAAAAAGTCTGCGTCGAGCTCCGACCGCTTGTGTTCGTGCATCTCTTCTCCTCGAGACGCTCACTGCAGTCGACCCGCATGGTAAGGACGAGCGACGTTGCCAGGGGCACCCTTGCATCCTTCCCACCTCGGCCCATCCTTGGCCGCTCTCGCTGGCCGCGCCACGCTCGAAAAGCTTCGACATGGCCTTCCAAGATCCTTGCACCCTTATCGCGCATCCTTATGATGCGGGCCGGCTGCAGATCGGCGACCTGTCGCCTGGTCAGGAGGTGTGGGAGCGGGAGAGTCAGAGAGCTCCGGAAGGTCTTGTTCGTGCGTGTCTTCTCCTCGAGACGAGCACCAAAACGGCCACCCGCTGGCTGGTCAGGAGGCGTGCATAGAGGAGGGAGGGTCGGGGAGCGCAGGCGCCTCGAGGAAGAGGCCGGCCTGCCCGCGGGCGCCCCACGGAAGTCTCTCAATTGTCCCCCGGCGGCCCGAGGGGAGGGCCCACGGAAGCCCTGGGGCACTCCGCAGGGCCATCCAGAAATCGACGAAGAGTGTGCCCCAAGATTGCTTACAGCATGAACTCCTCCTCCTCCTCCTCCTCCCTCCTCCTCCTCCTCCTCCTCCTCCTCCTACTCCTCCTCCTCCTCCTCCTGCCCCAAGATTGCTTACAGCATGAACTCCTCTCTCCCCTCCTCCTCCCCTCCTCCTCCTCCTCCTCCTCCTTCCATCCTCCTCCTCCGCCTCCTCCTCCTCCTCCTCCTCCTCCTCTCCTCCTCCTCTCCTCCTCCTCCTCCTCCTCCTCCTCCTCCTCCTCCTCCTCCTCCTCGTATCGTACTTGTCTACTGCACCCTTTCCTCCCCCCCATCTCTTGCACGCCGGACAATTTGCCCATCGCTGCCCCTGGTTAGCCCGACGCTGGTGCGGAGCGCCTCCGCCTCGCCGCCGACGAGGAAAAAGGTCGACTGCACCCAGATCTGCGAAGAACTGTGCACTTCAGTCTGGGCGTGTTTCCTTCATTTCTCAAGCAGTGGCGAAGCGTCCTGGCTTGTCTATAGGCCCACGAAAGACTGTTCTGGGAACTTTTTGCGGTTTGCACGAAATGCTCTTAGAACATTTCTGGCTGGGACTGAGCTGTTTTAACACATGGGGGCAATGTCCCAAGAACATTGTGTTTGTTCTTGGAACATTTGTGGGTTCTAGGAACATGTCGTGGCAGGCCTATAGGAATGCCGGGACGGTCGGCCCCTGCATAAATGTCAGCCTCCCGGGCCCACTGTCAGGTCCCGGGGCCCTCAAAGCACAGCCAGGGCGGAAAAAAACTACCCCAAGGGGTCGGGACCTCCCTCCTCCCTCCTCCCTCCTCCTCCTCCCTCCTCCCTCCTCCCTCCTCCCTCCTCCCTCCTCCCTCCGTCCCTCCATCCTCCTCCTCCTCCTCCTCCTCCTCCTCCTCCTCCTCCTCATCCTCCTCCTCCTCTTCCTCCTCCTCCTCCTCCTCCACGTCGCCGGATGTGAAACGTGACCCTCTCGAGGCGCAAGGGAGCAGGGACAACGCTGGGGGGAGGGACAGGCCCAGGGGGCGACAGGCTTCAGGAGGGGAAAAAACACAGACACAAGCAATCGTCGATCCCCCCGAAAATATGGGAAGATATGGGAAGTGGGGGGGGAAGACAAAAACCCAGAAAAAAGTTGGGAATCCTGTCATCTGCGTGTATTTATTTGTGTGTCCCAGGGCCCCTTCGAGGTTCGAGGTGCCAAGTTTCCAGGGCGTGGTCGTCGGATCTCGGCGGTCTTCCAGCCTCGGGCTGGTCTCCAGCAGCTGCGCCTCGCCGATGGGGGAGCCAGGGATGCCCGGATCGTCCCGAGCGGCCGCCAGGAGGCCCGAGGTAACACGCAGTGCAGCCTGGGAGCCACACTCCGAAGCGACGATAGGGGCGAATAGCCAAGGGGGGGAGCAATACATGTATGCGGGTGCGCCGATGACCTATGTCTTCGAAGAGGCTCCCGGGCGAATGCGTGTAATGCCCGCCCTGGGCTGTTCGCCCCTGTCGTCGCCGCCGACACACTCGGGACAGGGGTAGGCTCAGGAGGGAGCACATCAGCCACCAATCGCCCACGAATCGCCGATAAGGTGCCTGAGAGCTCACGCCGCCCAGGAGCGTGCGGATTCGCTGTCGGGGGCCTGTCACCGATATATCAGCGATGCATCGCCGATTCAAACGCAAGTCCTGGGCATTGACTCAGCCTTGCTGCCAAGTTCGGCCTTTTTTGTCCCAGGTGAGCGGCGAAGGAAAGCGGGTTGAATTGCGAGCACCTTCTCTCGTAGGTGTTCCGCATGAGGTCGCGCGTAAGCGCCCTGTTTCCCACGCGGTTTGCCGCGATGGCGGCCCGCGTAAGCCGCGGTGTGAGGTCGCTATGTCGTCTGGCGCAAGACCCGACTTTTGTTCGTCGCCCAGGTGCGTGTGTCAAACGCCTTCGCTCGCACGGGGTGCTTCTGAGCGTGGTAAGTCTGCCCTCTGGATCCTGTCGCCCCCCGGGCTGCGAGAGAGCGCACTGGCGGCGCCCCAAGCGGCCGCAGGCGGAGACCCTTGAGACCCTCCAATCGGTTTCGCCCTCTCTCGGGCCCCGAGGCCACCACGGACCGATCAGAGCTCGAGAAATGTTCCGGGAAGACGGGGCCCGAGGCTCCGGTCGCAAGTTCTCAGGGCGCTGCAACATTTGCCGCGCCGCCGCGTCTCATCTGGCGGGGTTGCGGCAGGGTTGAATCGTTCCTGAGCGTTCTGGGACGCGCTCTCAGGGCGTTCGGGCGCGCTCTGGTGAACGCTGGATATATGCTCCAGAACTGCTGGGTCTCAGAGATCCCCGATTGCGACGGCCTTGAGGCCGGTGCCGCCAACCCTGAAGGGGGACAGCGACGACGACGACGACGACGACGACGACGACGACGACGACGACGACGACGACGACGACGACGACGACGACGGCGGCGGCGGCGGCGGCGGCGACGACGACGACGCTGACGTGGGTCAGAGTCCTCAGGGATGCCGTTTGGGGCTCCTTCGGAGCGCGTCCTCGGAGGCCTCCAGGGGGCAGTTTTGGGGGTTCCTCTCTTGGGAGCGTTTTGGGGGCTGCTGGGTCTCAGAGAGCCCCGCTTGGTCCCAGTGCGATGTTGCCCCTGTCCCTGCCTCGTCCTGGCGCGGGGATGGCCCACGCGTGCCACCCAGGCGGGCGGGGCCCCCGAAAGCTGCGCCCCGGGGGCTCCTCCTCCTCCTCCTCCTCCTGACCTCCTCCTCCTCCTGCCTCCTCCTCCTCCTCCTCCTCCTCCTCCTCACCTCCTCATCCTCCTCCCTCCTCTCCGCCTCGCTCTCTCCTCCTCCTCTCCATCCTGATCTCCTCCTCCTCTCATAAGTCCTCCTCCTCCCCTCCTCCTCCTCCTCCTCCTCCTCCTCCTCCTTCCTCTGCCTCCTCCTCCTCCTCCTCCTCCTCCTCTCCTCGCTCCTCCTCCTCCTCCTCCATTCCTCCTCCCTCCTCACTCCTCCCCCTCCTCCTCCTCCATCCTTCCTCCTACATCGCTGCCTCCTCCTCCTCTCCTCCTCCCTCCTTGATCCTCCTCGCTCCTCCTCATTCCTCCTCTCCTCCTCCTCCTCCCTCCTCCTCCTCCTTCCTCCTCCTCCTCCTCCTCTCCCTCCTTGCCTCCTCCCTCCTCCTCCTTCCTCCTCCTCCTCCCCTCCTCCTCGCCCTCCTCCTCGCTCCTCCTCCTCGCTCCTCCTCCTCGCTCCTCCTACTCTCGCTCCTCCTCCCGCTCCTCCTCCTCGCTCTCCTCCTCCTCCTCCTCCTCCTTCTCCAACTCCTCCTCGCTCCTCCTCCATCCTCCTCGCTCCCCTCCTCCTCCTCCTCCTCCTTCCTCACTCCCCTTCCTCTCCTCCTCTCCCCCTCCTTCCTCTCGTCCTCCTCCTCCTCCTCTCCTCCTCCTCCTCCTCCTCCTCCTCACTTCTCCTCCTGACTCCTCCTCCATCCTCCTCCTCCTCCTCCTCCTCCTCCTCCTCCTCCTCCTCCTGAGGCGGCAAGGAAGCGTCCCATGAGATCCCGGCGTGTCCATCTCTGTCGACCTGGGCGCGCCGTGGCCGGGCATCAGGCCCTGGAGCCCCCGCAGATCCATGGGCTCGAGAAGTGGCGCGGGCGCTTCCGCCCAAGCTCGGGCCCTGGGGCCCTCGCAGATCGATCCGGCTCGACACACGCTGTACAGTCGGGGCGTTGACCTAAGGAACGATAAATAAGGAACGAGGCCCCTTTTTCCCATGTATGAAACTCCGATGTTCCATGGCAAACCTCAGGAAAACATCGGAAAACCCGAGGAGCACTGTAAAGCAACTAAGGAACACGGTGCCCCTCCCCAACAAAAAGGGTTCTTTCTTCAAGGCCCCGACTGTATGAAGATTGTGTCCAGGACCGTGGTAATGAGTGATCTTCTACGGGGTTGCAGCGTTTGCGCGTCGGATCTCTGGGGACATCCTCCAGGAAGGAAAGAACACCCCGACGCCGATAGCTGGCGTGTACGAAACGGCCCTGGGTGTTTACTGAACAGCCCTGCCCTGTTCGATTTCGTTCATGGATGCGTTTGCTAAATGGCTTCGCCTGGGTGCTTATTATGAGGGTGGAGCCCACAGGTTGGGAACCCTGCCCAGGGACCAGCTTTTGGTCCCGAGTCGTTTTCTCTCGGCGGCCACGGGGCCTGGTAAGGACCCCTGGAGGCCAACGATGGCGAGGAGCCGCCCGTCGCGGTTTCTTCACGACCCGCGGTGGTGCTGGAGCCTTTCCTGCAAGAGCCAGCGCTCTGGCTGACCCTTGACCCCCGTCTCAAGGCTCCCGAACGGGCGCGGGGGTTGCTAAGGAGGTTCGAGGTTCCAGGTTTTCGGAAGCTTTCGTAGGGTCTCGGCGGGAGTCCAGCCTCGGGATGCCATCCAGCAGCTGCACCTCGCCGAGAGCGTTCCAGGGGTGCCCGGATCGCCCCGAACGGCCACGGGAGGCCCGTGTTGTGTTTCGAAAGCCTATTGGAACCAGGATACGGCCAGACCGAGGTATAAGATCGAGGTCGGTTTGGGGAGGGCACCCTAATGTTCTTCGTGCTTGTTGGATGTTCTTGTGCATCCTGGGTGAGGGCACCCTCGCAGGTTCTTCTGGCTGGCTGGCGGGGAGTCTCATGTTCTTGAAGTATGCAAGTACGTCCTAGGTCTGGCCGTATTTCACCCCCCTACGCCACTCGCAGCCTCTGCAACCCACTTATAAGTCAGGCCAGACCAGGGTATCACCAACCTTGACATCCACTGATGGCTCCCCGATCCCCTTAGCGTTATGTCGGGCCTGTCCCCATACAGGGGGATTTTCGACGATAAATAAAAAATAACCCGTGAATAGTTCAAAAAGGGGAAAAATATTCAAAAAATACTCCCCAGATTATTTTTTGAATTATTTTTCGATGACTTTGGGGGTATTTCTTATTTCGTCGACAATCCCCCTGTAGGGGGACAGGCCCGACTTAAGCTTAGCGACCCCCGCGCCGATCCCAGCCCCCCCTGGTGCGCGCCGCCGAGCGAGGAGGAGGTTCTGCCTGGTCTTCGAGCCACCACTCGGGCCTCCACCGACCGCTCGGGACGAGCCGCGCACCCCCAGGAACGCCCTCGGCGAGGCGCGGCTGCTGGAGAGCACCCCGCGGCGAGCACACCGCCGAGCTCCCACGAAGCCCCCCGGAGACCTCGGAGCTCGAAGACCGCCGCGAGCGCGGGGATCGCTTCGGCCGGCGCCCGCGAGGTGCCGGGGGGGCGGCCCCCCGCCCCCGTGCGGGGGGGGCCGGGCCAGAAGCGGCGGGCGCCGGCGTCGGCGCAGAAGCAGAGGGCCCCGCGGAAGGCGCCGCGCGGGAGCGGCGCAGCGGCGGGGGGCCTCGGGGACTTCTTCCGCGCGGGCGCCTGAGAGCGTCACCGGGAGCGGAGGTCCAGAGGTTGACATGCGGTATCGTTTCACCACTCCCCATCCCCATCCCCATCCCCCTCGAGACCCCCACCAAATGACCCCCCCAGGTGGGGACACACCCCTCGAAGCCCGAAGGGAACGACCCATCTCGCCATCTAGGGGGGTAAATCGGCCAGTGGGGGCCGGGCCACGCCGCTGGGGATGGGGATCGGCGAAACGATACTCAGACATACATCAGCACCACCACTGGCGGTGTGCCTCCACCGAGGGCAGATGATGCCGAGCTCGGCGACGGTGGTGGCCAGCATCCAGGATCCCCTTCCAGCGGTGGAGGTAATCCCCCTGTGTTGGTGTTGGTGCTCCTTTCCAGGCCTCAGACGAGAGGCCCGCGGAGGCAGCGGGCCCCGCGGAAGGCGCCGCGCCGGGGCGGCGTCACCGGCCGGTTGCCTCGGGGACTGCTTCCGCGCGGGCGCGCAGGAGCACGTCGCCGAGCGGCCCTGCGGAGGCAGAGGGTCCCGCTCGGGTGAACGCAAGAGAGCAGCCCTTGGCTGGAGTGACCTCGGCGGGGCCTCCCCCCCTCCTCCCTCCCCCCTCCTCCCTCCTCCCTCCCTCCTCCCTCCCTCCTCCCTCCTCCCTCCGCCTCCTCCTCCTCCTCCTCCTCCTCCTCCTCCTCCTCCTCCTCCTCCTCCTCCTCCTCCTTCTCCCACTGGGGTGCTCTGGCCGCTGAGCGCGATGCAATCGCATCGGCTTGCGCGCTTGGGTTTTGCCCCCCTGGCGCCCCCCGAAAGCTGGGAACCAAAGCTCATGTTTGCCAAGGGCCACTCCTGCGTGTGGCCGACCCGCGCAGGGCGCCGCGCGGGGGCGGCGCAGCGTCCTCGGGCCTCGAGGACTTCTTCCGCGCGGGCGCCCGAGCACTCGGAGAAAGAAAGACCGGCATGGCCATGAACGTCCAGAGCTCCGCGCGGAGTTCTTGGATCGGCGCTGGGCCCCCTGGCGCGTTCCGCGCGCCAGGGGTTACGGGGGTCCAGCGACGATCCGAGAAGTCCGCGCGGAGCTCCCGAAGTTTATGCCGGTGCAGCTTTCTGGTTGGCGAAGCTCGTCGCCGAGAGATCCGAGGGCGGCGACACACTCGGCACGCTGGTGGGGCAGCGGGCGAGTGTGCGGGGCCGGGGGGGCGGCCCGTGGCAATGAGGTGGTGGGGTGGCCCGAGCGGGGCGGGCAGGCTGGCTCACGCAGTGAGCGGGGCCGAGCCGGGCTCGGGGGCGCCCCGCCGCACGAGGAGGTCGGCCGCTGCCGCTGCACGGCCACGCAAAGAAAAGGCGCCGAGCCTCCCCTGCAGGCGCGCGCACGGGGCGCCGTGGAGCTCGAGGCGGGTTTCGCGTCTGCCAACAGCGTTGTCGGGAAGCCGGCTCTGGTATCGAAGGATGTTGCCCCATTGGTCATGACCATGGTTGCGTCCCTCTCCAGGACACTCAGTTGGCATGTAGCTAGTTGGCGCCAGTCCCTCAGTGTTCGAAGATCGCATCTGCGTTGGTTGCGTTGCCCTCTCATTAGTCAGCGCGTACATTTAGTCGTCGAGCGATCCCTTTGGAGTTGGCTTGCAGGTGTTCCGCTCAAATGACTGACCCCATGAATATCAATGTTTCGTCCAACATGCGGCCAGCACTTCTTCGGGCACCATGTTCTCAACAATTGGACGCAGGTAATTGCGCAAGTTCATTCCTAAGCTGTTGGTAACAGTGCGATCGCAATTACGGCCAGCACGAGCGGTACGCAAGAAGCCACCTCGGCGACGCATGTTGTTATATACGAATCCTTGCAAATTGTTTCTGGGCCTTGGTTTTACTGGAAGACCCTTGGTCTCGTATCAATTCGGCGCAAAAAACAAGTGCACCTAGCCCACTGCCAGGGCAGGTTGCCACCACTGGCCGTTTCTTGCATCTGGTGATGATTATGTGGGAACCTCGTGGCGTTTTCAAAGTCTAGCAAAACATGGCAACATTTGAACGAAGCCGAAGCGACATCGAAACACCATTCAAAGTGCTTATGGGGTAACACATCCGGGTTGGCCGAATGAAGAAGCATTGCTATGCTCATCGTATCAGATCGAGGAAGGGTAAGACAAAACGAAAGCAAGTCGAAACGAAAAGCGGATGAGTGCGCAGCTCAGGGCAATGCACACGAAAACAAAGCACAAGGCCACACCGAGGTAGTATGAAAAGCATTGATGAGCAGGGCGACGAAACGCAGAGCAGAGCAAACCGGATACGGTCACGGCTGAGCAACCCAAAGCACATCCACGCAAGGTGAAAGTAAAACCGATAGCTATGTCATCAAATTCAAACTCGAATCGGAGCGAACGCAAAGCGCCACAACGCGAAGCGAGGCACGTCAATCCGAGCGCGAGCTCGGCTACGACCATGCTGCAGAAGATTGTTTATCGTGCAGGCCTCGGCTCTGAGCGGGACGCACCAGAAGCATATCAGACAGCGCTGTCGTAAGGTTCATCTAGCTCGATTCTTGGGGGAGGGGAAGAGGGGACTGGCGACGGCACGCTCAGGTCGAGAAAGCTTGGCAGCATAAGTATTCTGGCGATTTCTCCACCAAGTCGCTGGAGAAGTGGACGGTCAAGGCTGATGCCGCAGGAAAGCTCAGAGAACGTGTGGGGAGCGCCTTCCTCCCCCGCCCTCGGCACTGCCCCCTTGCCACTCCTCCATGCCATCCTCAGCCCTGCCCTTCTAATCTTTCTCACCCTCTTTCTGCCTCCCCCCTTCTCATCCTCCCACATCCCCCTAGACCCATCCACATCCCCCTTACTGTTCCTTATTCTCCCCGTCCTCCTCCCATTGCTCTTCCTCCTTCTATTCCAACGCGTACTCCCATCCCTTCCCCCCCCCGTCCGTCTCCTTCCCCAGCACGAGAAGAAGACGCGAGAGGGGAAATGGGGTGAGAGGAGGGGGGGGAGGGGGAGGGGGAGGGGGAGGACCAAAGCAGTTGGACATCTCGGGGAGCTTCGGCAGGCTGGAGGCGTCTTGAACGCCTCTCGGAGTCGTTCAAGATGTTTTTGGGGGTGGGGGTGGCGGCGGGGCGGCTCGCTGTGGCCTCTTAGGGCGTGGCGTTTTCTGGGGGGGCTTCTTGGGGGCTCTTTGGAGGCATCTTGGGAGCCGTGGAGGCCTCCTTGGGACCATCTTGGAGGAAACCGAGCCGAGAAGGGGTCGGCAATGGGCGCTGCCCCCCTCGAGCCCCTGCTAGAGTCGCCTCTTGGCGCGCTCTTGGGCGCTCTAGGGGCCGTCATGTGGCCCTCTTGGGTCGCTCTCGGATCTCTCGTGGGCGTTCTGGCCCCCCTCGAGCCCCTAAAATCGCCTCTTGGCGCTCTCTTCGGGGCGCTCCCGGGGCCGTCTCGGAGTCCTCTTGGGCCGCTCTTGGGGCCTCTGAGGGGGGCCAGGGACACACAGATAAGTACTCACAACTCCCCAGGTTCCCCAGATCTTCACGTATATAGTTTCCCATATGTTCCCGAAATCGGCGTTTATGCGTGTCTGCGTCTACGTTTCTCTCCTGGGTCTCTCTTGGGCTCCTTGGGAGCCATGCTAAGGCCGCGGAAGGACGTCGGAAGCGAAGCGGCGAGCAGGCTGACCTCAGTGAATTGTTGTGGGTTCTTGAAGGGTTTGAGCCTCTAGGGGGCGTCCTGGGCATCCCTCACAGCCACTTGAACCCGTCTTGGAGCAGCCTTGGGACCTCGCGGAGTAGGTAGGAAGCCATCTTCAGCGATCGTGCGCTATATTGAGCCATCTCGGAGGCCGTCTTGGGCTCACTTGGGCCAGTTTGGAACCGCCTTGGGCGATCTTGGGCCCTCTGACCGCTCGCGGGGCGTCCCGTCCAGACCCAGGGGGAGCGGGGAGGGGGAGAGGTGACCCCCTTCCCCAAGGGGGAGGAAGGGGGTTGGGAGAGGACACGCTCTAAACCACCTTCGCCCTGAAGGGCTGGTGTGCTGTTCAAGCTTGTGTGTCGTAAGTGGTTAGGAAATCTCAGGCGGAACGCCCTGCCTGCTCTACGGGCACGTCAGGAGGTGAGACAGAGAAAAGTGATTGACAAGCTAGGTGCGCTCGCGTCATATCTGACATCCCACCCCTCCCTCCCATCCCTTACCATGGCGCAGATCCCCTCTCTACTCGCACAGTCGGATGTCGAGCAGGTCAATGATCCCGAAAGGGTACGCGATGCATTGTAGAGCACGGCGTGGCATGGCGTAGAAGAGCACCGCAAAGTGTAGCATCAACCTAGCATTGCATTGCATGCCGTGGCATGGCACGGGAAATGACGCCAGCGCTGCAGCGGGAGCACGAGTCGAAACGAGCGGAAGCGCGGAAATGAGGCCAGCACTGCAGCGGGAGCACGACTCGGAACGAGCGGAAGCACGGAAATGAGGCCAGCGCTGCAGCGGGAGCACGATTCGGAACGAGCGGGGCCCGAAAATGAGGCCGGCGCTTCAGCGAGGGCAGAATTTTGAAAAAAAACAAAAACAAAAAAAAATGCAAGCGAGAACCCAACTCCGGGGAAACCTGTGTGTAAAAAACAGTACTCGGGGGGGGTCGGACACTTTCAAACCGTCATCAGGGCAAGAGGGAGAATAGTATTCATAGTGAGTAATTGTTAAGGAGGGAGGAAGAAGAAGAGGGGAGAAGGGGAGGCAGAGAGAAATTGCAATGGCCTTACGGCCGTTGCCGCCGACCCTGAGAGCGACGAAGCTGAAAACGAGGCGGGGGGGGCAGGGTGGAGGAGGTGGATGAGAGAGGAGGAGGGGGGAGAAGGATGTGGAGGAGAAGGAGGAGGAGGAGGAGGAGAGCAGGAGGAGGGAGAGCAGAGGGGGTAGGAGGAGGAGGAGGAGGAGGAAGAGGAGGAGACCAGAGGCTTTCTTGGGACAGCCTGTGGCTCTCCTGAGGCCGTCTTGGGCCGTCCAGGGCTCCTCTTGCGCCGTCGCGAGGCACTCTTGGAGGCCT